TCCTGCAAGGGCCCCACATTACCTGGGACCTTCTTTTTACCCCCTATGTATTTAAAAAAAGACTTCTTATTGTCCTTAATCTGGGAAGCTAGTCCCAGTTCCATCTCTGCCTTGGCCTTCCTAACTACCCCCCTACATCCCCGAGCAACTGCAGAATAGCCCTCCTTGGTGATGACCCCTTCTTTCCATTGGGTGTAAGCCACCTTTTTAGTTCTTCATTTAACTTCTTCAACTTTCTTTTAACTTCTTCAAACTTTGCACTTTTAAAGAGAGGTAAGGGCTTGACTGTGCACACAAACTTGCAGAGAGACAATAGGACTGAGGGTAGGTAATCAGATCTGTTCTCTCTCATCTCCATACACTGCTGTTAACAAGGATGTTATCTCTAGACACAAATCCAGTTTGAAATCTTAAACAAAGCATCACGGAGATGCTTAATGGGATCTTGAAGACTGAGGACTGAGTCACATTGAGTAGAGTGGTTTTCTTTAATCTTTACTAGAGGAGCCTCTGGGAACCCCACAAGATTGGGCCCCTAATATAGTCCATGGCCTGTTGCGACCTATTTATAAAACTTTTCTAAAAAGGTTACATGAATATATTGTCTCAAACAATATATAATTAGAAGTTATAATCCCTATTCCATGATGATATCTTTGAGCATTAGCCAATCTTAAATTAAAATTATATAGGGTTTTTTAAAAGCATCTTAACAACATCAAAATGTGATTAAATCAAAATAATCTGATTTAAATTTTAAAAATCCATTTTTATTTTTTTTAAATCATTGATTTGTATCTACCCTGATGTTTTGGATGCCAACACTTTTTTTTTTAAATCAAAACATGGTACACATTTGCAACTAATTTATTAAAAAATAGTACCAGCTGTGATACAGTAAAATTTTCATGCCCCTTCTTTCACATTTTTAGAACTCCTAAATTTCATCCTCCTCCTTTTTATTCAGACTGGAAGAGAAAAAACAAGATTTCCTACTTTTTCAACTCCCAAAAATTTAATTCTCAGCTTTCAATGAACCTTGTCCAAATGAAGAAAATATTCTTTCTGCACTTGCAGAACAGGCTACTGCTGGAAAAAGCTGGTTTACCACTTCAACAAATTCTAGCTCCAGGTGCTTTACTAAGAGACTTCCACCAGTGCAGAGCTGTGATTTTCTTTAAAACATCCTCAGGACACACATCCTGGTTGAATGATTCATGTCTAGCACTAAAATTTATTATGACTGATGGGTGATTAGTAGATGCCTTGTCATAGCATTGTCCTCTTCACCAGTTAGGCATTTAACTTGGTACTTTGTGTTAAGGACATAGCCAAAAAATGAGGTGGAGTAAGTGCCTGATTCATCGTCTTCTTTACAGCCTACAGTTTAACTTTGTTGTTGGGTATTTCTTGCTTAGTTTCTTGAAGTCCTCTCCATATTCCAACAGCATAGGCAATACGGCAGCAATCTGGTGGCAGTTTGTCCAAAGCTATGGAAATAGTTTTTAGCGTATTCAGCATAACTTCAAAATTTCCCTTTAGTCCAATGTCGACTACTCTAGCTGTGATACTTTTGTCAGTTTTGTCACAATTTTCCTCACCAAATGGTCATCAGAATAAGCCAGTTCTTAATCAGAAGCTCAAAACAGTCAACCACTGAATTCCACTGCACATCTTGGAGCAGATTTAGCTTGGATCCCCCCAGCTCTCTTCAGTGAAGCTGAAGCAAAATGGTTGTTACTAGGGGTGCACCAATAAATATTTTCTTGGCGGATACCGATAGCCAATTATTAACCGGACAGATAGGCCAATACTGCAGGGCCGGTTCGAGCTTCCACAGCTCAACCCCCAGACCCAATGATGCAGGGATAGTCCCCAAACCCTGGCCCTCCAACTCCGCTTCCCCTGCACCCCAGGAACTTACCTATACCCCATAGGGCCTGCTTTAAAACATGGCACAGCTCAGAGAGACATGCCTTCTTTAGTCTTGGAGTTCCCCGCATGCACCACATGGTACAGGATAGCCCACTA